GTCTCTGGTATATGGTTGTTCATTATTTTTGTTATTTTCTCGCCTGGTCCATTATACTCCTGCTATGAGTGACACCATCCGGTATTTTTCTTGATGAAACAACAATCTTAAAGCAGCCTAGGTGTCTGAAGTCAGATTGAGTGACTTGGAAAATGTTTATAAAGCTCTATCCAGTTAGATTTTAAATTTTAATTTTTAAATGTCTGTAGAAAAGACTGGAAAGAAATGTACTAAACCCGTAATAGTAGTTAATGAGGTCATACATTTATGATTTCTTTTTTTCCCCGATTCTTCCATATATTTTCTAAGGTGAGCATGTATTTCTTTATTGTTTGTTATTTTTTAATTATAGAAGTTCTATATAGTATATTCACGGAAAAAGCAAATTTCTCATGACCTCGGAATACTGAGGAGGGTGGGGTCAGAGAGGAGGGCGAAGATGCAGCCTTCCTTAGGGCAGCTGAGACTAGACCAGAACCTTCCTGGTGAGACCGAGTCCCTGTGTCTTGTTTCAGAGGACTGATGCCGACTCTGTCATCGGTGTGAGTCCAGCTGTTATGATCCGAAGCTCGAGTCAGGATTCTGAAGTTAGCACCGTGGTAGGGGAACACCACACCGGCATCTTGGGGGGTGGGGAGTGAGTCCCCCTTTGGGAAAGGAGCCTCCTTTGTCCTTTGGAGGCTGCTCGTAGACGCCGGTGAGCCTGGTTCCCGAGGTGGAGATGTTTACCTGCCCTGGGTCTGTGTGTGCAGGATAAACCCTGAGAGTTCTCCCAGGGCTTCTCAGCTATTGTAAAGAAGGTACTTCTGAGGGACAGCGGCGCCACTTGGAGACTCAGGGCTGCTTTATGCCCAGGGCGCTCCAGCAGCTGGGCATTTCTAGGGCCCTTCCCAGGGAATATCCTTACTACCTTTTTTTCCTTTTCTCAGGTGAGTAATAGTTCCGGGGAGACCCTGGGAGCAGACAGTGACCTCAGCAGCAACGCAGGTGATGGACCCGGCGGCGAGGGTGGTGCCCGCTTGGCAAGCTCTCGTGGGACTTTGTCAGACAGTGAAATTGAGACCAACTCTGCTACCAGTGCCATCTTTGTAAGTTCGTTCACTCACAAAGGGGTAGCATCTCTCCATGGAAGGAAGGTAGTTAGAAAGATAGAAAAGGTAGGAGGCAGTGAAAGAAAAGAGGAAGTAGGTATGGCCATCGTGTGTGGCTTTAAGGCCAGTGTTCGTAGCTCTTTTCAGAGTCTCTTGGCTCCATGACCCAGGGCCTGTAGAATCCTCTTAGAAGCAGGAGCAAATCAGACACGATTCCCATTCAGGACGGTAGCTATCCGGAATTGCTGTGACCAAAGTCTCTGGTAGGTGAGGGGAGCTAAACCTCCGGGGAAAGGACTTGGCTTTGCATCATGCAGTAAGTCAGCGATCAGTTGGAAATAAGTTAATTCTTTCAGTCCACACTTCTTTTTTTTTTTTAAAGATTTATTTATTTATGGATACAGAACTGGGCTACAGGCCACAGGTGGTAGGGTGGGGGGCGGTGAGAGGATTCACCAGAGACAGGGTGGGGAGCAGAACAGGCAGATGGACTGCAGTGCACCGCTGAGGCCACGTGGGTCAGCTTCCTGGCCGGGCATTGAACTCACGCTGCAGTGGCTGCGGGAGCCTCATACTGCTGTGCTTTAACCAGTTGCGCCACCAGGAAGGGCCTGTACACAAATACTTCTAAGGCTGTCAGTACGCTCATATTTTTGCCACTTCATTGCAGTTGAGAATGCCGTTCTCTGCAGGAGCAGGAGCTCCTAGGTCCTTATCCTCGGTCTGTCAGAAGAGTGGAAGATAAAATTTAAATGAGCTCCATGATTGACCTTGGTGATTGTTCCCATCCCAGGGTCCTCTATTAATGTGTTTCTAACAGAACAAGTAAAAATCCCAGAATTAAGATCGAGAACAGGATCCAGCAGAGCCATTCAAGTTAGTGAGCTTTCCCTCCCAGAGTCTTAGCCATTTCAACAAGCGTCTTCGCGCCTCTATTCTGGCAGCCAGGACACATTCTTGCAGGAAGCTGCTCAGCCAGGCATAGCCTTCCATGTCCCCTTCCTGGGACACGTCTCACTTGTCCCATGCCAGTGGGTAAGCGTTCTTTGCACAATTGAGCTGCTGAGAGAAGTTACCTGCATTCCTTGGCTCAAAAAAGGCTAATTTAGAAATAAATAACACTAAGTCGGTATGGCTCATTGAACAAAAATGTTAGTGTGAACCAGGCGACTGGCCTTTAGACACGCTAGTTAGGACTTTCTTGATAACCTTTCATCAGCTGCTTCTCTGCATATACTGTTCAGGGGTTGTGAAAGGGGCAAGAAACCTACCTCCTACCTAGTTGAAAATCTAAAATAAAAAAAAAAAGGAACAGAAAGTCCCATGTTGTGGAAGCAGAGCTATTCTAAGGGGCAGGTATTTCTGAGGGATGGCGGGAGACAGGAAATCAACATCTGTCCGATGCTCACCGTGCTCCAGACACTGTTAAGAGCTATGCGTATTTTCTAATTTACCCTGTGGCAGTCCCCTGAGGGTGGGCCTAACCCTCCTTTTACCTCAGAGGAAAATGAGAGCCGGAGAAGTCTCTGTG